TCTCTGCGTAATTTGTAGCGCTCGCCGAGATGTACAAACGCGGCACGCGAAATTCCTTTTCTCGTCGGCATAAGGGAGATATCGTAGTTTTCAAGGCGATTCGTCATTTTTGTCGCTTTTTTTTCGAACGTTTCTAGAAAAAAAACCGAGACGCGGAACCGAACAGATTTAGCTTATTGGCACGTATTTTTCGTTTAGCTATCGAACGAGACCGATCTCGAGTCGATATTTCGATAAACGGCGAAACCAGTGTGAAATAACGCCGCGTACCGTCCGGAAACGGTCGATTTTTCGACTTTACCGGCCGTTTTCGATCCGATCCGTTCCTCTCGCCGCGACGGGTCCAGCTCCCCGGTAAAGCGCCGAGTTTCTACTTTCCGAAACGGTACCTCTTTCCCTCCGAACGTTTCGCGAACCTCCTAAAAAAACCGCGAAAACCGCGTCGACGTCGCACGGCCTGACTCTAACGTCACGTGACCTTCCTAGAAAAAACAATCGATCACCGCTTAATATAGTCGACTAGCGCAGTTTTTAGCATGCCAACGCTATGCTAAATATTGTCCGTTGATGTCTTTATTTAAAACCACCCGTAGCGCAGTTGCTGGTATGCTAATGCAATGCTAGCGATATATACTTTATCCCTATCTCTAATCGTTTTTTATCCTTTGGCATCTTGATCTGTTATCTCGTATCTGGTATCTGGTGTCTGGTGTCTGGTATCTGGCCTTGGTATCTGGTGTCTGGTATTTTGGTATCTGTTATCGCTTTATCTGGTATCTGGTATCTGTTGTCTGGTATCTGGTGTCTGGTGTCTAGTACCTGGTGTCTGGTATCTGGTATCTGGTATCTGGTATCTGGTGTCCGGTATCTGGTGTCTGGCATCTGGTATCTGATGTCTGGTATCTGGTATCTGATGTCTGGTGTCTGGTGTCTGGTATCTGGTATCTGGTGTCTGCTATCTGGTGTCTGGTATCTGGTGTCTGGTATCTGGTTATCAGTTTTCATTTTTCTTTTAATTATTCTATTTTAATTTTTAATTTTTAGATTTTTCGATTTTTCGATTTTTCGATTTTTCGATTTTTCGATTTTTCGATTTTTCGATTTTTCGATTTTTCGATTTTTCGATTTTCGATTTTTCGATTTTTCGATTTTCGATTTTTCGATTTTTCGATTTTTCGATTTTTCGATTTTTCGATTTTTCGTTTTTCGATTTTTCGATTTTTCGATTTTTCGATTTTTAGATTTTTAGATTTTTCGATTTTTAGATTTTTAGATTTTTAGATTTTTAGATTTTAGATTTTTAGATTTTTAGATTTATTAGATTTTTAGATTTTTAGATTTTTAGATTTTAGATTTTTAGATTTTGATTTTTGATTTTTTGATTTTTTGATTTTTTGACTTTTTGACTTTTGACTTTTTGATTTTTTGATTTTTTGATTTTTTGATTTTTGATTTTTTGATTTTTTGTTTTTTGATTTTTTGATTTTTTGATTTTTGATTTTGATTTTTTGATTTTGATTTTTTGTTTTGATTTTTTGATTTTTTGATTTTTGATTTTTGATTTTTTGATTTTTGATTTTTGTTTTTTTTTGACTTTTTGACTTTTTGTTTTTGATTTTTGATTTTTTATTTTTACCTTATTTAAATCTGCTGACGATTTCCGTTTTCCGTTTTTCGTTTTTTGTTCTTCGTTTCTCATATTTTATTTTTCATTTTTCATTCTTCATATTTCATTTTTCATATTTCATTTTGCATTTTTCATTATTCATTCATTTTTCATTTTTCAACGTCGGATGTGTCACCATCAATAGCACACAAGGCCTTATAAAATCTTCGATATAGCATTAATGCCCTCTATAAAATTGTATGATAAAACTCAGATTTATGTGAGGACCGGCAACGTCGCATGTGTCACCATAAATAACACACAATGGCATTATAAAATCTTCGATATAGCATTAACGCCCTCTATAAAATTGTATGACAAACTCCGATTTATGTGAGGATCCGGCAACGTCGCATGTCTAGCTACCGCACTTACAAAAATGGCGCTTGACACTTGACATATCTCAACCGTGTTCGCCTAAGGATAGCACCTTCTATCTTCAGTGTAAATGTTTTATGATTTGACAGGACTGAAAATTATTCTTACCTTATTTAAATTGCTGACG